TAACCAATATTGGGATTAGTGACTTCTTAAATTAAGTATTAAACCATTTTTTGTGGTAATTTGTTAGAAAAGGCTTAAACTTCCTCACCTGATCTGGCAATTTAATGGTAAGAGTGAAGTAGCTCTATTTTCCAGGTACAAATAGTTTTAGATAGCACCACGTCTCTTTAGAGAGAACGTGGCTCACTATATACCCTGACAGTTGACTGCATTTCTTATTAAAATGCTATTACAGAAAGCTATCCATTTCTTCAAAAAAGAATCTATATAATATTCATAAGCTGCAAAGCTTTTAGAAGAAATCACCTTTCATAAATAGAAAAAATACAATGGTTTCTTTTCCAAGCAATTATCAACTGCATATCTCACAAATAACTATAATCATCCTTCTTGACACGAGAGTGCATGAGGCTGATTTACAGTACATAATAAATGCTTGTATTGTCACTGGAATAAGTCCAACATTCAGGCAACGTGGTGAGAGTGGGAGGGAAATCAGTTTTCTGTGTAGTAGCCTGCAAAGTCATCTTGCAATCCTATTTATCACTGTCAGTGCAACGTAGCAACTTCCTTAACTTTTCCAAGTTGTTTAAAAAAAAAAAAAAAGTACAGAGACCCTTGGTATGTTTTGTTTTTTCCCTCTTCCCTTTCCCTCTGGGTTTGGCAATCCCATGTCTTCAACAGGAGTTAGTCATTGCTGTGGGAGATGCTTTCATAAAGATGTTTTTCCCCTGAGTTAGAGTATCTTAGAGTTTCAGCTGTCAGGAAGACAATTCTTTTAGTGGTTCTGTGATTGTTACGTTTACTAAGGTGGGGAAAGACCTCCAAGATCATCCAGTCCAACCACCAGCGATATTCCCCCACTAAACCGTGTCCCACAGTATGACACCTAAATGTTTCTTGAATGCCTCCAGGGATGGTGACTCCACCTTCATGGGCAGCCTGTTGCAGTGCCTGATCACTCTTTCAGAGGAGAAATTCTTCCTAACATCCAACCTGAACCTCTCCTGGCATAACTGGAGGCCCTTTCCTCTCATTCTAACACTAGTTATGTAGTAGAAGAGGTCAACCCCACCTTGCTACAACCTCCTTTCAGGGAATTGTAGAGAGCTGTAAGATTTCTAGAATTCTGTCAGTAATTCCCACAGTTGCTCAGAGGGAAGCAGTGTTGAGTTGCCAAGGAATTAACACCTCTAATTGTTTAACAGCCCTACCATCAAGTAACAAACATGAGTCTGTGCTATGCAAAGTATTTGCTGAAATCTTTGCCTTTATTGCATTAAAAAAAGGTAGCTTATTCATAATAAAAGATAAGCACTGTAGAGTTGATGATGACTTTTAATTATATGGAGATGTTTCATTTCTGATGATCTTATGATGAAGATGTGGAGTTTGGTCTTCTGAAAATGCAGATCCTGAAGCTGATGCTTTCCATGAGTGCTGTACAAGTCTTAAGCTAAGAGGCCTGGAAAGTCTTGTATTTATTGTTGCACTCAGTCTACTTCCCTTTTCCCTTCTCCAAAGCATTATTTATTAAGGTATATTGGTTTTATTTTTTGCTTGCAAGGCTGTGTGGTTTTTTTTCTCCAGGAAGAGGTAGAGAGGAACAATATTATTAACAATAATATTGTTAATAATTGTTGAGGAACAATATTATTATTATCATTATTATTATTATTATTATTATTATTATTATTATCTGGAGGTTTGTGGCCCTGCATGCAGCAGGGGAGTTGGAACTTGGTGATGTCTGGAGTCCCTTCCAACCAAAGCCATTCTATGATTCTACGAATATCAAAATTCAAGAGTAAAAATGTAATTTCTCTGTGAGTACACTCACTGATTAAAATGAGATTCCTCTCCTTTTTCAGCAGAGAACTGCTGCTCAACAACAGGGACTCACTCAAGGAACAAGTTGCAAGAACTGCTATTTTGAGAATTTTTTGAAGCAGTGAAATGAAGTTGTAATTTTTTATTACTTTTTTTCATAACGTAGGCTCATACTCCCTTCTCCCTTAACAACAGGAGTATTAGTGGACTTGAAAAATATATTTCCTATGTTTCACACTCCCTGCCAAGCTTGTGAGTAAATAAACCTGCTATACCTTTTGGTACAGGTAGAGCTGTAAGAAGTGACATTGTTTCTGATTGTCCTCATCTTCCTGGGAAGATTTACCTGGAAAGGGGATGGAGAATGAGATTAGATTAATGGTTATGAATGAATAGAAACATTTCCTTTGAAATTACAATATTTAGCTGTGGGTACACCATCATTCAGGAAGTGGATAAATATAACTGGTTGCTTGAAGTAGTGGCTATGGCAACTGCCAAGGGAAAGAAAACTGAATAATATCTTAACTTTCATTGTCCCTGCAAGGAACAGTCTGGATTGGTAGGATACAAAAGAAGATATCATTTTCTCCTTGTTAATCTTGATGCCATCTTGATTTATCAGAGGTTTATCCATTGCTGGTCTGGAGGATTCAGTCATGGTAGTAGCTGCAGCTTCTCCTCCTTTGTGTGCTGATGGAGAGGGAGATGCTGTTTTTTCCTCTTCCAGAGATGCTACAGCTGTGAGAGAGGCATTACTATCAGGCAAAACGGTGTGACCAGGAACATGGTGACCTTCAGGAATAGCAGAAGCTGAAGACTTGGCCTCTGCCTCACTCCGGATGTGACTACTGGGACATCAGCTGCCTCTGCAGCATTATTTTGTTCAGGGGTATCTTCCCTCTTTCCCTGCACATCCTCTGGAACAGCATTGCAGGTGGCAGGGTAAAGACAAGAGGGCAGGTCCTTGGCACCCAGTGCACCCTGTTCAGAGGCAGCAGTGTTGGCACCACTGGTGCTGCCTGTTGGGGCCTTTCGAGTCTGGGCACCTGCACGCAGCTGCAGGGCCAGGACACATCTCTGCATGCGGCCTGTGGGTCGTACATACCTGTTCTAACCTGAAAGAAGCTAGGGATTATATAAGCAGCAGAAAACAGATGACTCTTACTTAACTAGGGCAATTATTATCCTGCAGAGAACAGGGACTTGGTTACTATTCAGCAAACACTTAGGGCAATCTCTGAAGTATTTCCAGATTCCTACTGAGTACCTATGGGGCAGCCACAGCACCGGCTGCTCTAATGTGCTATTTCATAAGGTACCTGTGCTTTCACCTATAAATTCCCATCCGTCAAGTTCTATTTCATCCCAGTATAAAGACGTTCTAACTTATGTGCATTTCTAATGTTGTACATTTGTAATATATCTATATTTTTTTTCTAAACAAATCCTGTGAGATGTAAACCGCATCCATTCTTCCTCTTACTGCCCATTCTATATGGGGGTTCTTCTGCTTGTGATCAGTTGAACATACTGTTCCTCAGTGCAGGTTAACTTAAAAAGCTTTGGGATATCTTACCACAGCAAATAATTTTATCAAAAAAGAAAAAAATAACAGGGTTTTTTGCACACGCTAGTCCTTGTAAGGTTGTTTGTTTTCCAGACTTTATTTGGAGTAACTAGTTTCTACTGAAGAAACAGATTGTGAAAACAGTAGAGGGCTCCCTATTCCACCCCCCAAAATGACCATGTACCATAAATAGAGCTGTTGCTGCTGAACTTGCACTGTTAGTTGTGTTATGGCAAGGTTCTTATATGTAGCATCTGCAATGCCAGATGCAGACTGTAGGATTATGACAAAATGTCTCTTAAACTTCATGTGCATCATTCCCAGCATAGAATCAAAAAGGTTGGAAAAGACTACGAAGATCATCTGCTTGTTCTTATATTTAAATAAATGTCCATGCATATTAAAAGGAATCTTTTGTGATCTTCTCCTAGAAACTATGGTAATTAGTACTACTGACTTCTGCCTACTTCTTTACAAAGAACCACAGTTTTGATGCACCAGAGAATGTAGGAAACTGGTTATTTCTCTTAAAACTAAATTACTTTTAGTAACAATTTGCCCTGTCTTGTTTCTTGCTGTACTTAAAGGACAACAGAACAGTTAGAAAGTTTGTGATTTAATACCTTTGATCCCTGTAGGATAAGGAAGTAGCTGCAGATGTGGCTCCAGTTTCTTCTGCAATATTTTTCTGGCTGTAAGAGTTTGAACAAGTCATTCAAGTAAAATAATAAAAATAATGAGGGGGGGAGAGAAAAAGTCGAAAGCTTTGCATTTGAAAGTTAATCTACAAAGAAAATCATAGGAAGATTTGTTTTTGCTTTTTTTTTTTTTTTTTTTTGAGATGTGAAAGCAGAGGGCACTAAGGATGGTTATTTCTGGAGGCTCTTCATCCTCTAGAGGAAAATTGTGATTTAAATAGAGGAGGGCTGACAGGAGAAAAGTTGCAATTTGACAGGTTTCTGATCAAAACAATGAAGAATATCTAGAGCAGGAAACTAAGGCAAGAAAGAGCATGATGTTGGTTCTTGTGTAAGTGTGCCACTTGCTGCAAAGCATGAAGAGTTCAGAGCCTGTGCAAGGCTGGTTGGCTCTCTAGCCAGGATGATTGGCTGTGGCTCCCTGCCTGCTTTGGGTGCTGGCACCTCAGCATGGATCTGTGTTTCATTTCTCATATACCTGAGCCTTCCCAGGGCCCTTTGGATGACTAAGCCTTGAGGGATATTAGAGAAGCATGGAAGCTGCTGAGGTGACAGGAGCTCACATGCACAGAAATCCAGTGGGGATAATGTAGTCAAGGTTGTTTAGGGATCTTCTTCCTTCTCCCTTTTCAGGACAAGTCAAAGCAAAGGCAAGGCCAGCTTTGGACTCCAAATATCATAGCTGTGATATAAATCATGATGACTACTCTAGGACAGAGGAATTGCTCTTACCTAAAAATGCTTTGCATAAAGAAAATCTCTTTCCTAGCTCGTGCTTTGTGACGCAGGTGTATCAGATGGGAAGGAGTTTGTTTCCCCTGTCTTACCTCCAGGAGCACCTCTGGCAATGTAATGTCTTTAGAAAGTTTAGAACTTAATGGTGTTTTCTGTCCACACAATAGGAATATGCTGCCTGCTGATGCCCTCCAGGACGAGGTGGAGGAGGTTGCTGGTGTGGCACAACCCATGAGGTGTGGACCGTGTGTGAGGGGCTGCTCTTTGTTCTGATGAGGCACTTCAGTTATCTCTTCAGGCTGCTCTTCAGCTCTGTGAGTACATTGGTTTACTTTCTAAAATATATTTTAGTCTGCTGGTGCACCTTTATGTCTACCAGACCCTGTCTGCCGTTAGCAGGAACAGGACAAAGCTTTCCATTGTCATCCAGTTGAAGATGAATTTGGCATGAATATGTGCTGTACCATGTGGTAAACATGCTGTGCTGGAGGTTACTGTCTGCTCTGCCATGGTTTACAGAAGACAGCAGACAGAAGGATATGAGAAAATGCAATGGAGGTGTTCAAGGCTGGGTTGGATGGGGCCTGGGCAACCTGATCTGGTACTGAATTTTAGTGGCCAGCAACCCTGCCTGTGGAACAGGGGTTGGAACTTGATGATCCTTGAGGTCCTTACCAATCCAAGCCATGCTATGATTCTATGAGTACTGTGCTATATGTGAAAGGAGCGATTGGAGGAGGGGTTTGTCCTGGTACTGCTTCTGTGCCCTTCATTTGTCTCAGATGGCCTCAGTGGATTGGGGATTTGGAGTAGGAAGATGAGGAGTGGGAGAATGACCCTCTTCTCAGCTGCCTCCTGACTGGAAGGTCTGTGGCTTTTCAGTTGCTTGAGAGCTATTGCAGAGCAGTTGCATGATTGTGGGAATGAGTTTGTAAATCATTGGTATATGCTGCATTGTCTCCTTTATGTTTACTCTCATATGGCTTTTCTTTAAAAGGTTGAACACTTGTTCACCTCCATATGAATAATATACATGCAGGTTATGTTTTGCAGTCTAATTCCCATACAGGGAATAAGGTGCTGTTGTCTGTCTCTGACTGGAGCAGTCAAAATACCGTAGAATTTCATTTCTTGATCCAACTATTCAAGAGTGGTGCACTACAGGGAAGTAAATCATGTAAACTGCAAGTGGAGGAAAGAACATCAGTGCCTTACAGGAATACTTTTGGTCTGTGCTGACAGGTGGTTCTGTGTAGTTACAGTGGCCTCATAACTCCTGCTGAACTTCCAAACCAAGTGAAAGGGCTCTGGACTGACTTGAAGGCATGTTCTTCAAGCTTCAGTTACTATTTTTTTTTTTTTTTTTACTACATCTTTAAGCTTCAGCTGCCATAGCTGTGATCCCGCAACAAGCAAATAATTGGTGAGTTAGGATATCTATTAATTCCCTACAGCTGTCGAAAGTCTTTAATATATTCACTGTCCACTGTAGGAAAGCCTTGCAAATCACATCACAAGGCACATTCCTTGGAGGAAAATTGCTCCCTTACACTTAATATTACCTATTTCCACTCACTGCATGTGGACAGCCAGTGTCACCCAGAGCCCATGCCAGTGTTGCAGTAACTGTCCTTGTGCTATGCCTGCTGCTGTGGGGATGTGCTCCTGGCTCTGCTCCTGCATGGGGACAGCTGGCAGCACCAAGGGAGCTATCTGCTCTGTCTCAGGATCCAATTGCTGTCTTTATTGATGCTTATCACAGCAGTAGTTCTCACACTAGTGTTGTCCTTGTGCCAGTCTGTCTCTTTCGAAAACCCTGTGTCAGATTTAAGGTGAGGAATGGGGAACCAGGATCTACTCCTGAGGTCAGTGGGCACAGAAATGCCCTAATGGGTTCTGCCTGTCCTCAGCAGTGCCTGGGCCAGGACTGTCCTTATGCTGGTACAACATACCTTGGTAGGCTCTGGGGCAATAGGAAGGTGAGTACAGCAGCTCTCATTTCACAAGGACTGATAGGCAGCAAGCTGTGAGCTGCTGAGTTTGCCTTCTGCTTGCCTTTGATAAGGCCAGGGTATTAGGTCTGCCAGTAGAGCTGTGGAGCTTCTGTTCTGCCCTTTTTCAAACTGCACTTCTGGTGGTGATTCCCCAGCATCACATAACTTGAGCACTGCTGTGCTAAGAGCAGCTGGAGGCTGACTGTTGTGAAGCCCTTTTCATGACAAGCCACTGTTTTAACTCCTTCAGTACAAGTCTGTGGTGCTGACTGGCACTTCCAATCTAATTTAGGACAGCCTGATAATGTCTAGACACTGCAATGCTGATGTTTCCTTTAAGGAACTGTTGGCAGGAATTATTTCAGTATCAGAGTTTACTTGCTGTGTGCAGCCAGTGATCACACGGCAGTTAAATGTAATAACTCTCTAATGGCCTTTGCCTGCTGTGGTGTTGTTTCTTGCTATCAGTGAGGCACTTGGGGAAAAGGGACTTTCCTGAGACTTCTGCATGGGGATTTATTGTAAAAGGGAAGCTGAGTTTTAAATTGGAGCTGTCAGGTCTGGCCTTTGGGGTGGGAAGGAAACATCTGGGGTGCCAGGGATCTTCCACGAAGAGTGGTCTCTCACGGCATCCTGGGAGCTCTGCAGGCTGCCAGATGACTGCAGGCTCATGCTCATGTACCCGTGTTGTCCTCCAACCTCGGGCAAGTCTCTCAGCTTCATGCTTTGCATCCTTATAGTGTAAAGTCTTAATACAGTACAGTGAGGTCTGTATTTGCACATGTGTCTTTAAAGTAGAGCTGTGGAGAGTACATCTGGCCTCGTGGGAGCAGCTGAGCCAGACACCTCAGTGCTTTGCAGAATGTCCATGAGCCACTCAGCATGCGCTGCCCATAGGGATTTAATTGCTCTGGAGGACACCTAGACCTAAACAGCCACTGGGAAATGAGCAACAGGAGACAGTCTGCTACAGAGGTCCTTTTGAATGTCAAGCTGCAGGAAACCCCCAAAGAAATACAGTGCTGAAGGTTAAGGGCATTGAGTAGCAGGTTTGAAGCAAATATTAAATTTTATTGCTAAAAGAATTGAGCAATGCAGTGTACATAAATTTAAAACTTTTAAATCTATCCATTGACTTGGATTTAAACCTAACCAGTTGGCCACAACTTTTGTGTCCCCACCTACAGCAGCACAACCCCCTGGGGCAGCTATATGCAGTATGCTAAGCAGTGCAGCTGCTGTGGGAACTGGAAAGCTACTGGAACGAACCTTTCATTCACACCACACCTGTGCCTCCCTGAGCATTCTGATATGTGTCAATAGATTGTCTGATTCATAAAGCTGCTGTCTGAAAGAGATGCTGTCAAAAGAAATAGTTATTAAAAACAGCAAGAGCTGTCTCTTGTATTGGAATGGAAGGGCTCCTGGTACTGTCACTGCTGCTCGTTGCTGCTAGAAGCAGCAGCTCAGAGCGATCCATCAGATTTGACATATTAGGAAATGCAGGCCACAGCACTGTGCTGACTGCTGGGTCTTGCTGTCAGGAATTTCCCTGCCTGAGAGGAGGGCCAGGAATGCACGTGCCACAGTCTCATTCAGAATTTTGCTTGGTATTGGACTTTGCTTTGAGTTGAAGAGAATAGAGAGGTAGCATTGAAATACAGCATGAAGGTACCAAGAGTGTCCTGAAACTGAGGTGTCTTTTTTTTTTTTTTTTTTTTACTGAGCTACTTCACACCAGCAAGCAATCCAGAATTATAAATGTGCTTCACCTTTGCAAGATAACTTTAATTGACAAAACAGAAGTGTTATGGTTTGGGGCAAGGTCAGGAAGGTGGCAATGTGATAGCAAGGAATTTGCTATCATCAGTTGCAGTGGCCACAGGTGAGGAGCAGAGAACTGCAATAACCTCTGTTAAACTGTTGCTCTTTTGAAATGCAAATAACAACAGATTTCAAAGACCTACAAAAGTAATTTCAGTGATTTCTCCAGCTCCTCTTCAAGCAGATTGATCTACAAAATAACTCTCTGCTGTTCTGTATGTATTTGGATTTCTTCTTATGAGAACTAGGCAGTATTTTCCTTCTGCTATCTGCTTTTCCTGCAGATCTTTTCTGATGTAAAACTACTTATTTAGTCAGACTCAGAGATAAAGCATTTAAGCAGCAGTGATGAGCAGACTATCTGAGCAAAAATTTGCAGTAATTTCCCAAGGAATAGGTTCCTGTGGAAGGCTTTTCAACAAAAGGAAGGGCAGATCAGTGGCTCCTTTGTCAGGAGGATGGACAGGCTTTAATATTACCATAACTTCATCAGGATGCATTCAGCAGACACCTGATGCTGCTTGCCCCACACACTGCTTTAGCATGTTATTCTGGCTCTCAGCAGCCACTGTAGCTCTCAACTCTTCGTGAGGTCTCACTTGAGGTGAGAGACTGAATAGATCTGACTGAGCCAAACTGCTTCCAGCATTCTGGCTGCCCCCAGATCTGTCAGCTCCACTGGGTTCAAGAGCTGCTCTTGCCTTTCCCTCATTCAGGAAAGCTGTACTGACTTACCTCAAACCATGCCAGCACCAGAAGTTGGATTTCTGTTGTGCAGCTCTCCTGATATCAATGGTGATCAATAGGTTTTGATAAAAGGAACTTATTTCCTCACTTCAGTGTCTTCCATTTTGGGTGATGCTTAGTAGAGATGGTTGCTAATGCATTTTGCAACTTTTGATTTTTGAACTTGAGCTTGCTGAAGTGCATGCTGAAAACCCTTGATGTTTGTCTTGTATACTATTTTCTCCTTTCATGTTTGTTGAAAAGGCTGAAAGGATATGTCTCATTTAGACAGTCTAAAAGAAGTACTTCCTGATGTAAAAATTAAGGCATGATGCTTTTATTGAAGAAGAGCCAAGAACAAGACTATAGGATTTTTGCATTCAGGTAGTCATATGGATAAATAGACCCAGGATATTTTCTTCCAAATAGTAATAGTACAGACAGGTCACAGTTGTGTCAAACGCATGAGATTTTTACTTACAGAGAAAAATAAACAGAACTGTTTTATTGGTTCCCGTGAGGTTGTAGGCATGTCAAAGCCAGATACACTGAATGTAGATGTGACCCACGTGTTCTCTGGGGATGTGGTATTGTGTGAAGACAGTAAATCGTATGACTGCATTACTTGTTTAAATATTTGACTCTTTTTTGCTGACAGCATAAAGCCAAGCTTCCTTGAAGGTGGTACTCATAACTAAAATGAGACTGCTGTTGAGGTAGAAGGGCATTACTCTTTTAGGAATCGGGCAGAGCTTGGATGCGTATTCCAG